ACTTAAAAGTATCAAACACTTATAAAAACAGGTGCCGGGCACAAGCCAGGCACAAAATGCCCATGCCACAAAAAATGCCTGGCCCAAAAGTGCCTGGCACTTTAAGCCCATGGTCATAGGCACTGCCCAGGCACTAATTGCCAGGCATAGTGCCCAATGTGCCCGGCATGGGCATTTGCAGAACCCTGATCTCAATGCTACACTCCAGTTAGATACTCCTGTACTCGACCAATAAAAATTCACTTTCGTTATATGCTGAATTATTTATTTGACTTTTCTCTATGATACGTCATGGACGATTAATTATTTAGATTTGGGGTTTAACTTTGATTACGTTATAGTAACCGTATTAAATAGTAATTTTAACAAAAATTGGTGTATAATAATAATAATGGCGTAACCGGTGTATATTGATAAAGTGATAATAAAAAAAAGATATATAAATTATATTATATAATAAGAATACATTTTCCTTTCACTTTCAGAAAAATGTTAAGTCAAATTCAGCCAAGTCTGATTTCTAAAATAATTACTGCTGAAATATCATTAACGTTCTGCTTTAGTAAGATCTATAATCTAAGTATCATAACGAAATCATAACGAAATCATAACAACTAATAGCAAAATCAGCTATTTACGGCTAGTGGATCTCGTTTCCCTGATCACCAACCATTTCCCCCCGAAATTAAGGTCGGCTCGATTTTAATTATGGTTAGTCAGAATTAAGGACGTTCTCAAGCATCAACCTTTGTGTAATTAGCTTGTGATCTTAATAGCGCACAACCATTTTTTTACTAAGGCCGTTGAATTTATTTTGTTCGGAAGAAAAATTAAACAAACAGTAATTTTAACCGAGGTTTGAATGATCCATTTTGGGTTCAAGTTAGCCTAATTTGGACCAAACTTTATTTAAACTATGTGCTCGTGTTTAATGTTGACTATTTAGCTTTCCGAAATTTTTCTGACCATACTCATATTATTTAATTTAAAGGGGAAGCTTCAGAAGTGTAAGAGGGGGAACGTTAAACAAATTTTTAATTTCAAATTTAGCTAAAAATTTGAATATGTTATAATTATGTAATTGAAGTTTTTCTATCTTCGACGTACTCGTAATGATGCTCATTTACTATAATCAATTAAAATAAAAATTATAATAGATACTTTATGATCTCTATTATTTATCAAATATCATCGTCAAAAAAAAAAAGCAGTCCAACACGAAAAAACAGCTACTTCTATTACCCTCGTTATCAATTGAATATGAAAAATGTCGATCCAGAATCCACCGTTTTTAGGCCCTCGGTTTTTGAATCTAAGAAATTATTGAATCCTGAATTTGTTATATGATTATGATAAAGGCTAAGTATCTTGTAATTGTTTTTTGAGATTCCCGGTATTTTTATTTTCCATAAAAACTTTTAAATATAAATAATAAAATAATGCCGAGAATTAAGATCTATGGTAAACTTGAACGATCTTTATGAATGCTCTATTAATTTTTCCAAGTCAGGTAACTTATAAAAAAAGGATGGTGTGTTGTAAAAAGTTTGTGCGTAAATTTAAATGATTACCGGTAAAATGCGGTCTTTTAGCTTCAGGTTTTTTTTTACTTAAATGGCAAGCACTATAAATTTTTTAGCCAATCAGAACACCTGGTAAACTCGACGACTTAGCTGACGAATTAATCAGTCGACTTTTAGTCGATCAGCTTACTTCCTTTGGGTTCGAATTAAATTCGAATTATATAAAACCGAATCTGCAATGCTCGCACAAATTTATGGAGAACAAAAGTATTCCACCTGTAAAATTTCCGTAATTATAATTAGTACGATAAATTCATTGTCTAGATGGTTGAATGCTTATCGATATGTATGCATGCATGTCAATAATACGTACTATAAATATCTGGCATTTATTTTGCTATCGTTCTTTTTTGAATTTGACCAATCAACAAACTCGGTGTTATTGAATTATAAATAATACTATGAAAAAAATATTTGTCAGGCGTACATAATTTTACATTATACCCGAAATTAAAGACAGTGAATAAATCACAAATTATAAACCTTAATTTATTTTTATTCCTGTGTTTTTATCCTTTAAGATTATCTAATCACGTGATGATTGACTAATCAAAACTTGCATTCAATACATACTGTATATCCAAAAAATTCTATTTGATTTCATTAACCGGCAAATTTTTTATGATCCAAAATTTAATACGTTAATCGGAAATTTATCAAAGTCATATAATTAACATAATTAATCGGGTATTTTCAAAAACAGAAAAAAAAAAAGAAAATATACTTTCGGTTGAACTTTCAAAATTTTCTTTGTTTATTAATCTTAAAAAAAAACGGTTATTAAGTTTATGATTGTCATACTTACACTGTGTATACTTAAATTACTTCTCTATTACTTGCATATTTAATATTAAATTAAGGGGTATTTGTTTTATTTATTCGTTTTGGTTAGAGGTAATATATACTGTACATTATATGTTAAAAAGTCAACTCTCGATAAAAAAACAAATAATTTACCCTTTATTAGAATTCATTAAACCTTCTGCTTAGAGAAACTCAGAAGTTTGATTCTATTGAATTACGTGACCTAAATCGAAGTCAAAATCTGAAACTAAGACCTTACTCAAGACTTGGTAAAGAAAATTATTGAGTATAATTAACTCTCACTTTCACCAAAACCGCATTTGACGTTACACGAGAGAATTCTAGAGTACTACGTAAAACGTTGCTTGGTCGTAATTACCTTTATATTAACAGTTAGAATAAACTCATCGCATCAACTCCAAGCATTCTTATAAAAATTTAGGTAATAACGTCATCCTGCATCATCTTGAACCATGGGCGTTCTCAAAGCACCCTCAATGTGATTTAAAAGTGTTCAATCATTACAATTTTAATTGAAGTAATTTTTGAAGTAATTTCCTTTGTAACGATGAAAATTCGTTGTGTTAAATCTGATTTTTAAATTTAGTCAATCAGAGTAACTTTATAAAAAAAAAAAAAAAAAAAAAAAATCTCTCCATATTTTTAATGATAACATTTGATAAAATTTTGCCTCAGATCCATTGAGTGAGGCGCTTGAGAACGATATAAGGACATGGGCAGAAATCAGCTGATTTCAGTTTGTTATAGAGCCCTACTTGACTGATAACGATAATATAATGTTCAATAAGCTATCATAAGAACCTGACCTAAGAAATCGGCTGATTTCTGCCCATGCCCCAAGTTTCTGTGGGAAATCTATATAAAATACTGTGTGAGTTATCTACTACATACTTCGCACGAGGAACATCCCAAAGTAATTACTCCGCTACATATCTTACGATATTTCTTGTTCTAATTTCTTACTTTATCTCCCTGTTTAATTAGGTGTGTCCCGTCTCACCAATCTGTAGATTGATAACCATATCCAACAGTCCGCAGTATGGTTGGATTAAATGACATGCCAAATGAAATTAAAATGATTATTTTTCAATATGTCAGGTTCCCAGCAAATTTAGCTGTTAGTCATAGGGATTGGTCAATTTTTGCTAGAGACCCTCAAGTGAGAGCAGGATGGATTATTTTACAATATGGACAAATATATTGCCTTTTTCACGCAGTTAGATTAGGTCCTAAATTTATTAATGTTAAAGTAGCACGACAAATTATTATTAAAGGTGGATTCCTTACAACATATTTGGCTAAATGTCTTCTTATGCATTACGGAAATTATCGTTATGATAAAAAATTAATTGAAATGAGGAAATTTGAAATCAACAAATTACAACTTTCTGTTTTTACATTATTATTTGATAGTTCACTTTTAAAAGGAAATAATATGAAGAAATTTTATTATCTTCCGGTGGACCTCAAACGATTAATGATGCGTCAAACACTTTAAAGAAAAAAAATATGGAGGAAGTTAACATTAAAGATCTAGTCAAATTCATATCGTTTCCTTATCATATTTAACAAAACCTCAAATAGACTTAAAATCAAAAAAAACATATAATATATATATTTATATAGTATATATGTATAGTAATATTTAATATTTAGAATTTGACAACTATTTTTTTTTTCAAAGATTGAACCTATCTTTAATGTAACTTGTTGGAATCTGTAGAGCTTTTATATCACTTTAATGTTTTCCATTTTTTATTAAAAAAAGTAAATAAAAAAAAGTAAAGTAATATCTAATAAATAAACATCACGTATTATATTTTTAATGAATTTATTAAAGAATTCTGATAAAAAATCCCGACATCTATAACATTTATAAGCCTGACAGTAAAATTCTGATAGTAAAAAAAAATCTTGGTAAGTTAAAACTCTTGTCAGTTTTCAAAATTCAAGATACTGTAGTAAAAAAATTTTGATATTTCTTATTTTTACAATATCAATATAAATCAGATATAGCGATAGATGATTAATCTTAGCTAATTCTGTAATTAGGCAATTCTTTTTATAGCCAATTAAGTTAATCTAATTTATAACGTTTGTATAATATGTAACAATGAGGTAATTTATTCCGTTATCATTTTATTACCATTCCCAATCCATTTTTTGATATACATTATACATTTGAAAGCCCCCAATGTACTACCTCAAGAATTTAAGTTATAATGATATAATAATCTGTTCCGCCCGACTTGTTGATCTTCTCAACTTCTCTCATAAAACAACTTTAACGTTTTAATATTAAAAAACATGGGTGAATGGGATGATCGTAAACGACCTGACCTTCTTCTCTTGTTTGACGTTGATGGAACTCTGACTCCTGCTAGGAGGGTAAAAAAAAACTGTTTTCTTAAATTAAATGCGTTTATAATAGTAGTTTTTAAATTAATTACTTTTATCTTTGAATATAGTCGATAACTCCGGAAATGTTAGAATTACTTAAAACGGTGAGAAAGGAAGCTGTAATCGGCTTTGTTGGCGGCTCTGATCTTGTAAAACAGCAAGAACAACTTGGTCCTACTAGTAAAGAAATTATAATTTATTTAAATGCTTTTTTTTTCTTAAGATATTAAATCATTTGTAATTCACATTTATTTTTTTTTTTTTTTTTTGAATTTTTATTAAAAAAGTACTTGAAGATTTTGATTTTGCTTTTTCGGAAAATGGGCTTATGGCATACAAGAAAGGAGAACTAATTGCATCACAGGTTTATATACTATTTCATGATTCAATTTTAAGTACTTAATTTTTTTTATTAACATTTGATATGAATTTTTCGTAGAGTTTTATTGGATGGATCGGTGAAGAAAAATATAAGAAATTAGTCAATTTTATTCTTAGATATATAGCAGATCTTGATCTTCCGATTAAACGGTAAATTTTATTATCTTAATTTACATATAAATCAAAATAAATAAATAAATAAAAAATATATTAAAATATTTACATTTAAATATTGTTTTTTTTAGTGGGACATTTATCGAATTTAGAAAAGGTATGATTAACGTATCACCAGTTGGACGTAATTGCACGTAAGTATTTCAATTTACTTTGTAAAAAAAAAAGTAAATCAGATGAAAAATGATCTAAATCACCAATTAATATAATTTTTTTTAGCGTCGAAGAAAGAAACGATTATGAAAAATATGATAAGGTATGTTTTGACTATTTTAAAATTTAACCAAGATATTTTAATTAATATAATATTCATTAATAGCTTCATAGTATTCGACCTAAACTCGTAGAAGCATTGAAAAAGGAATTTCATGATTATTCGCTCACTTTTTCAATTGGTATGATACATTTTATTTAATTTTAGCAATTAGCAATAATTAAATAATCTTTATTAAGCAATATATAAATTTGTAAATTAAGGCGGGCAAATATCGATTGACATATTTCCGACAGGTGATTATATAGTTCAAATTATTATATCACGTGATATAGTGACATAGTATTAATATAATAATTGAATTAATAGGCTGGGATAAAACATATTGTATGCAATATGTTAAAGAGTTTAAAGAAATTCACTTTTTTGGTGACAAGACATATAAGGTAATTACAGAAAATATAAATCAAACAAAACGGATTATCGTACTAATTATTATTTTTAATGAATTTTTAGGGTGGTAATGATTATGAAATTTATAATTTGGAATCGATTAAAGGACATGCTGTTAATAGTCCTGATGATACAATGAAAGAAGTTAAAGCATTGTTTCCTCACCTTTTTAAAACATCATAATTTCCATGAATTTATTTAATTTATACCTTTGTCGACAAAATTAATATAGAGAACTTAACTATTTTACTCATATCGAATATAACCTTCACGTTGTCTAGTAGTAAAATTTTTTTTTCCTTTTTGTCGCCTATAAGTGGCTTGAATAAATTCATAAAAATATTTAAAATACCATAATAAATTATCGTATCTTCCATCATATTCATTATTGTCTGAATTAATTGTTTCTTCAGGAATTTCATAAATTTCATTATATTCTTTTAAAAAATAGTAAAGAGCTTCAATTGTTGATAAATGATTTTCATCCTTATTTTGATATCTCCAGAATAATGTTTTTTGTGGCTTTATAGTAACTTTACGAATATTTTTTAATTCAGGATTAGTCTTTGCCATATTTGAAGCTTGTCTCCATGTACCATCTACAATTAAAAGTTTATCGAACGAAGATCTTGGTATTTCTTGTAATGTTTTGGAATCCTACCGTAATAATTAAAACAAATAATTAAAACATATTAATTTTAAAAGAATTAGGATATTCAGAATATATATTTACCGGACTAGGATAAAGTAATAAAACTCGATCCGGATCTTTAATTTTAGGCATTTGTAAATAAGAAATAATTTCAACATCATCAGGCGCAATTACTTTGGCGTGAGCTACTGTTGATTTACCATCTAATTCTTTATTATGCTTAATCCTTTAAAAAAGGAAGGGTATGGTAGGAATAATTAATTTTTTGAAAAAAAAAAAAAGAGCTGTTGTTAGTACAGCTCGAAACATGAAATCTCACCACAAACTAATAATACTTTTTGACCCAAGAATTTAATAATAAAAAATGTAAAATCCCACACATCAATTTTAATTGGTAGTTTCACTCTTGGAATTTCTTTACTATCACAGCCAACAAATATATAACACCAGTAACAAAAGTATTTAACTGGTTTATCACATTTTGGACAAGGAGTTCTTTCAGTGATTTTTTCAAGTATTTCAGTAGAAGATATTTTTAAATTATCGAAAGGTGAAGGCAATTTAGTAGAGATATTTGGATCCAAAGTTTGAGTTTGTTCATCAGCAAAGAAAGGTTCTTCGAAGTCGTTAGTCATTGCGAGGTGCGTAAGTCGACCAATCAAAAATGACTCACAACTTAATTTTTTTGTGTTAGTGACACTAAAAAAAAAAACCGATTGGTGAAACCTACAGTACGCATATCGATGATATGTATCACCATCACGAAGTGGTCCTTAATCTCTTCTTCACTTTAACCATTGATGTCTGCCCCAGTTTCACCCCAAAAAAAACGAAGGCTTTCAACTTCGCCGGTTGACGGTAAAAAAAAAATATATATATACATGAAGAATGATTTCTGTTATATAAGCAAATTTCACACTATCAATTTTTTTTAATAGATCGCCGAACTAACGTCAATGAATCCCTTAAAAAGGTAGTTCTTGTTAATTATTTATAAAAAAAAATAATTTATCAATGCAATTGTTTTAACTATTTTAAATAGGTTAAACCAGAAAATCCTACTGGATCAAGTCTCTCAATACCGACTGCACAGACTTCAACTTCTAATAAAGGGAAAGCGAGCAGTAATGCTCAGACACAATCCACTCCTTCATCAACACAACAATCACAACAGATTCAACATCCTATAAATGATTCCACACAAGATTTATTGGTTAGATTAACCAAGAAAGAAGAAGAAATTCAAAGCTTACTGGTGACTATTATTATCTATATATATATATAGATTATTTTTTATTTTATTTTATTTTTTTAATAAATTAAAATTAATTTCTTTTTATAGGGAGAACTTCAAAATCTTTCACAAACATTAACACCAGATTTTACATTTGATCAATCACTTCGAAAAAAATTTCTTGATCCAGCAATTAACCTTTTATTTCGTACAATGAAAAAAGAATTAGAAGATAAAGATAAAACAATTGAATTCTTACAAAATGAATTAGATGGAGTTGGGTTTACACCAAATAGGTTGGTAAAATATTTTATGAAGGTATAATAATTTTTTAATGTTTAATACTTGTATAAAATATTTAAATCTTATATATAGTATTACTGGTAAAAAACTTATTGCAAAATTACGAGCTTTACAAGATGAAAATGAGGAATTGGGGAGACAACTCCGCCAAGGACGTGTAGAGCAATATGAAGTTGAAATAGCTTTACAGAGAAAGATGATTTATGAATTAAAACATAGTCTTGAAGGTGATAATTAAAATAATCTTTTTATTTTTTAAATAAATTTTTTGGGATTATTTTTAAAAGCTCATATTTTTATATATAGAATCCGATAATCAACTTATATCTATGGACAATGAAATGGAACGTCTTCAAGACTATGTATTCAAGTTAAGAGCAAAAGTTAAACTTTATGAAGATAAATTTGGTTCTTTAGACAATAATTCTTCAGTAGATATCTCTAAATCTGACGTTAATATGGATACCGAGTCTACAAAAGTAGAACAAAAACTCGATATATAGTAATTTAATATTAACCTATCAAAAAAATTGACTTTTCATGTTATATTGTCATATTATTTTTACGAAATTAAAATTTTGATTAGACATTCACTCAATGATGTAATTTATGAAAAAAAAAAAAACTTTTTGTTTTATAAACTTGGGGCTCTCAAAACACGTATACGATTAGATTAATATCGTATCAAATAGAAAAGCGTTAAACAAAAAAAAAAGATATTACCGGTATTGGATTAAATTTAAGAATGAAATATGATTCTCCTTTGATACCATTAATAGAATGACTTTCGGCTTTGGTTTCTGAAGCCAAGCTGATAACTTGAGCCATGGTTTTGAAGCCAGCTTTAGATGGGTTCAATTTATAATTGCTTAACGTTAAGCCATTTTCAGCAAGCCATGTTTAGCAAACTCAAAGCCGTGAAAATGTCAGCTAACTCAAGCCATGATATATGCATGGCCATGGTTATTCTAGCCGATAATATCTCTAGTAAAGTATTATGAATACGCTAGAAGTTTATATTATATAATGATTTGATTTGTTTAAAATTGTTATAATTTTATATAGTAATTTTGTTTAAAAAATTTCAAAAAATTATACTTTTTTAAAAAATTAATATATAGTATTGAACTACAAATTTTATTTAATAATATTTAAAATTAAAAAACTTTTATTAGAAGTAAATTTTTATTCATTATATAAAATTGCAAAGTATTATCAATTTCATATGAAAAATAATCTACATACCCCTTATTGATTAGAGATAACAAATTCCTGTAAAAAAAAAAAGAAAAGAATGTATTATTATCCAAAATTGATTATAAATGAGAAATTATTATATACAATTCAGAAAATTATTTGTACCTGAATAGTATCTTGAACTTTCCGTTTAAATTGCTGAACTTCTTCCCAACAATCAAGAGTATGCGTGCTGTTATTTCTATCAAATATTCAAATGAATTCTTATATTATTATAAATAATGTATTTGATAAAATATTAGATATTTAAGTAATATTAACTTATAACAAGAAATGATGGCTCGTTGTTGTTCAATTAATTCTGTTGGAATTTTATTTTCATATTTTCTATTAATATTAAATTAATAAATTAGATAATTTTTAAATAAAATTATTAATCAAATCAAATAGAATTTTTTTACAACAAGCCTTTCAACTCGTAAAATTAATTCTTGTATATCTTGTTCAGTTGCTATGGCATTAAGACCATGATCATCAATTATAGCTCTACGTTTAATTAATTCAACTTCAATACGCCTTTGTATTTCTTCATCACGTTCTCTAATACGATTCAATTCTTTTTCAACACGAGTTTGAACTATATTTTCTAATTCTTCAGGTAATATAGGTTCAGTGGTTTTACTCGTTGGCTT